TAACCCCTGTCTCTTATACACATCTAGATGTGTATAAGAGACAGGAGAGAGAGAGAGAGAGAGAGAGAGAGAGAGAGAGAGAGAGAGAGGTGACCTCCATGAACAACCCATCATCACAGGCTCCCTCCTCCTATCGCAAGCACATACTCACACTAGGACTTCCTTAACTGAATCTGGGCGCAAGTGACATCAGATACATTCAGCGAAATACAACTGTGAGTATGCCCCTAAGCGCAAAGTGTTACACTACCCCTGAATGAGAAGAAACCTGTTTCATCAACTCGTCATTTGTTTGGCATCGTTAGCCAGCACCTCATCCTGTTGGGCTGCCGACGCCTCGCCTATGAAGCAGGTGGGACTTCATGGATGGGCTGTCCTCGGTCGTTCCGCGACATGATTTTTCTTGCAAGGCTGACTTGCTTGCCAATCACGAAAACGAATACAGTTCCAAGTCCTCCGGCCCCTCGTGCTGTCCGCCCAACTCGCCTTACATACTCACTTGGATCCCGTGGAAAATCGAACAGGACGACGTGCTCGACATCAACGGAGTCTAGCCCTCTTGACGCCCTGCAACAACACAGCGTGCAAAACCGAAAGTATCAGGGCTGAATAAGAGGGTAGGTTCAAGTGAGAGGTTGTGACACACATGTTCACATCAAAACAGTTGGTAAACAAACAGCATGGACAACCACCAGCAAACGTCCTTTGCTTTGTAATCCTTGCTTGCGCTTTGTATTAAGCGCCAAGGGCGTTCAAGGTATCGATGGCTCACGGATTTCTGCAATTCACATTCAGTATCGCATTTCGCTGCGCTCTACTTTTCTTAAAAGGGCAATGACCTTTAGAAAGTTGAGATATCATTATTGACCTGACCGGCCCCAGGTCAGTGGAGTTCGAACTCAGCACCTGGTCTGTATTTTAGTCATCTGCTCTCAGTGGAGTTTGAACTCAGCACCTGGTCTGTATTTCAACTGTGCAGATCAGGGGTGTACCAAGTTACTACCAACTACTGAGATAGCCCAAAATGGAGTTCCAATTCTTTTTCCTCCTCTGCAAAGAACAGGTATGTCAAGGGGTCTACATGCACAATACACCCCATATATGTGAACCAGAGGTTGAAGCGTTTTTTTTTTCTTTTCGGGGGGGTGTGGGCCGGGGGGGTGTGTGTGTGTTACCTGCCGGGAAGCCAAGGTCAATGATATGGGGAAGGGGGTGTCACGAAAGGGGCGCAAATGTGGAGATCAAGGGTCAACATGGAAAATAAACCCACAAGATAACGTGGGCATAGCATAAACTGGCACACCAGCAGGAGACGTACATCGAAAAAAGGCCTTCACACTCAATCATGTGCACACGGAGAGAGGCAGACAGAGATGAAGAATATGGAGTAAAGAACAAGAAGAATTCAAGATACGACAACGGCCACAAAATAATCTCCCTTACCCCTAATGGGGACTGTGAAAGTGCAGATTCCACAGGCTGAAAGCTGTTGCACAGGCCTACAACAGCCGCCAACCAACACAGAGGGTCTCGCTGAACTACTCATGACTCGTGAAAAAAATCACGAGTGCGCCTAGAGTTGTCAGAGTCCCGAAACGGCCTAGAGTTCGGTCGTCGCTGCACTTACTCTAGGCAGTTCTCCTCATGAGTTGCTCTTGAGAGGCCGACACCGACTTAGTGCAGCGACGGCAGAACTCTAGGCAGTTCTGGGACTCGGTAGTACCGGGATTCCCCACTGCCACGAAACGGCACGCACTGTGGAGGACGGCGCTTCCCCGCACCCCGCCCCCCCCCCCCNCCCCTGGTCCGAAAACCGGGAGTTGTACACGCCCGATCCTCAGCCGCTTTCCGCCCCTCCACCATTGGGCACACTCCGCAGCCAATGTCCGCCCCCCCTCCCCCCACCTGAACCGAAAACAAGGAATAGTACATGCCATTTAAGAAATCACAGTCCCACCACGGTGGGACCACGCACGGTAGTGTGAACATGAGCCCTTCACGAGTGCTCTTGAAGCACTAAACTACAGCCAGCACGTGTGTTGTCCGTCCAGACCCGGCTCGCTCTTGAAATCCGGCGGCCTTTCAAGAAACCTTCCGACCTCCCTTGCAAAAACGGGAGTTGCAGGCAGGAGACACAAGAGCGCTCTAGTCGACTTTGCCTGACGACTACCTGACAGCTCGTGAAGTGCTTTGTCAAGAGTGACGCGGCAAGAGTAGTGCAGCGACGACAACTCTTGCCGCTTGCAAGAGTGGCATCTGACAGCTCTTGACTCACAAAACTGGCGCCGAGTTCACGAGTAAGTGCAGTGGTGCGGCGCTCATGTAAATGCTCGTTTCACGAGTAGTGCAGCGAGGCCCAGAGTCTAAACAGACACCGTGAACAGGCACCTTAGGATAAAAACGTGTGGCTGTTGTGATTTGGACAAAATCAGAATGCAGGATTGGTACACCCATCCTGAACAGGAGTAATCAATGCTGGTCAGGGTTCCTTCGGCCAGACAGAAGGAAGCGTGAGAGTGTTCACCATGTATTCCAATTCTCTCTTTTTTTTTTTTTTTTTTTGAAGCACCCCCACCAGTGTGACTTGCCGGTGGAAAGGAACCGGCCTGATGCTCCCCAGAATGGATATGGAGCCAGGACCATTTGCAAGGAACATGAATGTGGACGAAGCAAAGAAATTCCAGTTGCAAATCACACTGAAGTCCAAGTAGTCAAAGCAAGCGCAGATAGCACATTGGAACCAAGGAACCATCCATTTGAGAACGATACAGCAAAAGTCGTGAGTCAATGTCCAAGCCCAATCGGGCAACACCAACAACATAACCCGAAGTAGCTCTCTCTCTTGAATGGCGCCAGGCGCCCTATCTACTGTACAGCCTATCCTACAAATACTGCATGGAAGCAACCAGACTACTTGACTACCAGCGAGTGATGACGTCAACACCAATGCCAACCTCCTCTCCACCAGGTACGTCACTCTCTCTTGTCCCTCACTCTCCCTTGTTATCCCACACAGCGCCCTTCACCTCCCGAAGAACCAACTTCGCCCTCACCTCCTCCAGTGCCCTCATGCAGCCTGGCTATGGCTGCCAGCGCCCTGCGCCCAGGCTGCGCTCTACCGCTTAGCGCCAGCCTGCCTTCACTCAGCCTAGCGCAGCGCAGCACCCCGCAATGCAACAGCGTGCCGGCCTTGCTCGCAATGGCCAAGATGCCTGCCCACTCGCCCGCTCTGCCTATATGCCAGTGTTGCGTGTGGGCGGCCTCCCTTGAGCCTGCGCCTGGGCCCCAGTACGTGTACTCAGGCCCAATGCGGTTGGGGCCCACGTAATACAGTTGCGCCCCTTTCATCAAGGCCTGCATCCAGATTCAGATAGTGGACCGGTTTCCCATTGGCATTTTCGGCCTCTATGTCCAGCATGCAATGTCGGCCTCACATTTATGCGCCCCGGGCCTAACCAATTCTGGGGCCCTGGTCCTTCTGCATTTGCAGAGATCTGGTACTCGGTGCACTCCAACCAACTGGAGTGCGGCAACTGTATGGACCCCACTTCGTGAAATGTTGAACAAAAAGGGCTCTCGTTGATTTGCTGGCCCGCCTTCACTTAGGGCGGGGACGAGGCTTGCTGGGGGCCTTAGCCCAGAACATGTACATCACGGCAAGGCCCCTTTGAGGGCTCAATCCTCACATAAGGACCTGCTTTAAAAAAAAAAAAAAAAAAAAAAAAAAAAGTTTACACCCATGAACTGTTCAAGTTGAGATGAACTAGAGATGAAGGAAATTGAGTAACTCTGAATTAACCTTGGGCCGGTCAGTTCGACAATGATACTCAAGCCGGTCGCCCTTTGCTTCTTTTTTTTTTTTTTTTAAGCAAAAAAAAGAATGAATGAACGAAGCCTGTGCAAAAGTAACACCACTCCAATAACTCCAGATCCCAGAACAAAATTAATAAAAATCAAAGCAATGGAGAAAAATTAAGAAAGGATTTATGAAGAAGAAAGTACTCTCCTACGTATTCGTGAGATAACACGTCAGCAAAGCGCATTCGAAGAAAGAATACGAATTGGCAGAGAGTAACGTCAAAAATTCTCAAAATCGTTGAATTGACATGAAGGCTTATCTGAACAAAATTCAGCAAATCCATGGAGCCCCAAGATCCACCATCATAGCTTCGACCCAACCTCCACCCTAGCTACCGACATCCTGGGTGCCGGAGAAGGACGCAGGTCCAGAAGGACTCACACAAACTCAACCATCTTACGTTGACTGAGTCAAGGAATGGTCTCGTCATTATCTCTACTACGTAACCAAAAGTGGCGCCAAAACACTACTACCGCACTACGTCTAACATGACTTACCCCCTTTTCTGAAAAACTTCGTCCATCACTGGTCCTATTGTGTGCAGTCGAGGTGAACGATGGATTGAATTTGAAACCATCTCTGGACGTGGGATGAACGGGTGTGCGATGACCAGTCTGAGGTCTTTGAGTCACGCTGCCGAATGAATGTGGAATGGGAATCCAAACACGAACGGAGGCGACTCTGGCAAGGGTAAGGAAACCGGTTATATGTTGAATACACATGATCCGAATGTCCGAGTGTGGAAACTCTCAAACTGACAGCTGTCTGTGTGCCAGAGAGAACTCAGCGTGAATCCATAACTGGAACAAGAGTTACAAGAGTGAGCCTCTGTTCAATTGCTCTATCTTGCAAGCTTGGCGCACAATCTGCGAGAACCACCTAGACTGTTCGAGCAACGTGTTAGCACAGGCCCGGGCTCGAAAACGGCCCGAAAAAGAAAGAAAGTGTGAGTCAAAAGTCCACACCAAGCGTATGAAAAATAAAAAATCAGAACAATGCACAGTCTGAAGACTCTGGAGTCTGAACTGATAATGGCCGGTAAGGCCATCAAAAGAGGTGTCCAGGGCCCAGGCAGGGCGTCGAGGTCCCTGGCATGCCATAGCTGAACAGATATGATGGAGAAACCACCTGACTAACCACACATTTACAATTTTACACTGATATCTTTTTGTCTCCCTCCCTCCCTCCCTCCCCTCCCTCCCCTCCCTCCGGTCCTCGCTCCTTCCTTTCCTTCTTACAGAACCTGGTAGAAGGGAGACAACAATACACAAACTAGTAGAGAAGAGTTTTGCTTAAGGGTCCCCTTTTTTTTTTTTTTTTTTTTTTGTGCCCCTATAGTAGGAAAGAATGATACAAAGTTGTTATATTTGAGCATAGTAAGGGAGATGATGGTTGATATGTAGAACCCTTTTTGGATGGTACAGGCCAGTTGCATGATTGCATCTGTGGCTAATGAAAAAAGGGTCACCGACTCACCTGTCTTTCAATGCCTTGTTTGGGTTCACACAACTTCACAGCAATAAAGTCTGGCGATTAGTTATTGATACCTTTTAAAAAAAAAAAAAAAAAAAAAAAAAAAAAAGGATACCTTGTGTGACGATGGATGGAAGTAGGCCGTATAGACTCAAAGAGGAAGGAATCATTTGTTCGTTCAGGTCATGGTTCGAACTCGGAACCAAATCAAAGCATGGATTCTTCAGCTACTAAGATTGGGCGTTACCGCACTGAGTTGTGAGCAGCTGGATAAACCTGGCGCAAAATGCAGACCAGGTTCATGTTACAGTTACACGCAAAAAAATTCGAGAAACGGTCAAAAAAAAAAACAAGAAAAAAGAAACAGCTGGGAGCATAGCTGAATTCTCAGATTTATGGTCGAGCTATGGTAGTAAATGGTGCTCTCTTTGCTCTGTTGTGGTTCGTGGCTGCAGTCAGACCATTGGGCAAGCACCTATGCTCACTGATCAAACAAAGAGCGGCCAAATTTATTTGGAAACCGTTTGCCTCTGACCAGGAGGCCTTCATGTCCAAAGTTGCATGGGACCTTTTAACTTTTGCGAAATCGGAAGGTGGTCTGGGTCTGTGTGAACCCCAGCGCAAAAGTATGGCAATGCTTGCCCGATGGCTTATCAAAGCCATATGCTCGTCACAAACGACCCATTGGATTGCTTTTGCTGAATTGATTCTGGCACACGAATGGAATCTGCCCCGTCCCTCGGATGTATGGACATGTTTTCTCTTGCCTTCGTACCAAAACAGAAACATCAAATCAGATTTTTGGACGGCGGTCATGTGCGCCTGGAAACTTCTGAAACCAGATTCCTGGCTTCACCCTGTCACTAAAGCAGAGGCCCTACTACAGCCTATATTGGAGAACCCACATATCAGAAGGACAGATGGTTCCTGGTTCGGTGCAGACTCAGGTCGCAACAGCTTTGGCCGTAGCTGGATAGAACGAGGGATTCTCAGATTAGCAGATTTGTGGAATGATCTGGAGGGACAGTGGTTTTCCCCAGCAGCCTTAAGAGAAACCTTGGGGGGCTGCTGGTATGTAGAAGAACGGTTCTGCGAAATTCTGAACTCTCTCCCTGAAGAATGGATTTTTTTGTTAAAACCAGAAGGCACAGATCCGCCAGGTACTTGGTATATTTCCAAGAACCTGGACTCATCCCCTGCCTTTTGGAAATTGAAAAGTATTGATGAGCTTGGTAACAGAGAATTTCAGGGTTGGGTAGGTATTAATGAGCAATCTCCTTCCACCTTAGTTGAACTTGATTCCCCTTCTCAACCTCCACTGGGTTCTCAATTAACCCAGATTAGGGTCTGGGAATTATGTGATGAGGAAGGAAGCTGGACCTGTAAAGTCCATGCTCAAGGTAAGCCACTAAATCAGCTAAACTTGGATCCAAGGATGTGTGGCTGGAAAGGCCAAGGTCAGGGAGGAGAGGACTTGCCACTAATTTCTTACTCAGTGGATTTAGGCTACCAAGCTCAGACACCGCTCAGAACACCCATCAAAGTGGCGGTAGCCCGCTGGAAACAAGTCTTGGATCTCCAAACAGAAGTAATTGAACACCGTTTGCTACGCTGTTGGAAACAACTGGCAGAAGCTCCCTGTCCGAGACTGGCAGTCAATTAGTGGTTGCTATCTCTCTTGGCTACCCCATCTGCAGTCAACCTAGCACAGAGAGGTATGAGAGTGGACTTGACGTGCAAAAGATGCAGCTGGGCCTATGAGTCTACATCACACCTGTGGTATGATTGGCGGCCTCCAAGCGAATCTGGGATTGGTGGGCCGAGCAATGGCTGCAACTGGTAGGCCCAGATTTCAAGTGGGACAGAGAGTGGGCACTGCTGGGCGGAGTCCCAGATGCACTGGACATGAAGAAAGGTACGGGCTACATTGCACAGGCTGCAAGAGCAGCCTGCATGGCGGTGATTTGGAAGAGCAGGAATCAGCAGATCTTCGAAGGGAAAAAATGACAAACAAGGAAGTGAGGCAGATGTCTCGTTCTGTATTGCGTCGAATCCTCCAGGCGGACTGGCGAAGGAAGTCCCGGGCAAGATGGTCCAATTGGTTTGGAGTCACATGGGGCGTAGGTGGCAGACTAGCTAGCTACGACAATGGGAAGTTGACATTGAACAGTTGGTTCTGGAAGGAGTAGGCTAAACCTGCACACTCGGTTTTTGTTCCACAGGAGGAAGGCAGCTTGGTATAATGAAGGGAGGAGGGAGTGGTGAACCGTAGTTCTACCAGACCAGTTAGGTCTGGGCTGTCGCACTAGACAGTGAGTAGGCAGCTAGGATGCTGGTAATGAATAGTTAAAAGTACTGGATAGGATAGAACTGCCTTAACATTAGATAGATAGGGTAGCTGCTAGGATTAGGGAAGACATAATTAGTATGGGGATGGTTTAGTACGGGTTACTTTTGGATTGTGTGGCTTTTTAGGCTTGTAGGCTTGTAGCATGATTTAATTTTCAGGGTCTGAAATTTCAGGTCAGCGGCCTATGAGTTGGTCATTCTGGTCCTAGATATTTTTCAGCCCTGCTGGTTGTTACTAAGTTTCTTGGAATTTCATGGAGTATGCCAAGGCATTACTCGCAGGCCTGGGCCTGTAAGCTAAGATGGCTGATGCTGCCAGATACTCCGGGTGGAATTGTGAGGTCCCCGGCCTCCGGTTACTTGTTATAATGAATTTGTTGTTTCAAAAAAAAAAAAAAAAAAAAAAAAAAATCTCAGACTGCCAGTGGAGCTGTAATTGATTGAGATTGGGACCACATCTGGTTTCTCGGATGCTAGTGTTTGGTCTCCCTCGCCTGCAGTTGATTGTGATTGAACCTGGTCCAGATGTGAACCAGGTTCGGGGTATCCAGCACAGTCACAATCAGAGCGGGCCGCAATTTTCATGGAGCGCACACAACCTGGAACCTGGTCCAAGTGCAAACCAGGTTCAAGATATCACTTGGCATGACTACAGCTCAGTGGGATCTGCTGATGCTTGAGCTGAGAATGGTGATGAATCTTTTGCCCGCAGAGGACAGACGACTACTTGCTCCATGCAAACTTGAGAATTGAAAATGAGTCATTCCGAAACGTTCAGATGATTCACAGTGCGATCGGACCAAAATGGCAGGKGGGGCCAACCAGGGAAAAAAAAAAAAAAAAAAAACCTGCCGCGATGGCGTTTCGCCAAAGCTTCGCGTGCAGGGGGAATCCTGAATCCACCGTGGCAAAAAGAGGCTAGGGTGTAGTTGTGGTTTAATAAGCCCTAACCCCACACAAGGCCCTTCTTTTTTTCTGGACAGGAATTTCGGTCAGACTCATCCTCGCAAACAACTGTTCCCGCGAATCTGCACTAGAAGACCAGAGCGAGCAACGCTGAAGTGGACTGCAGAAAGGCGACGAGAAAGCGAAGACTGGAAATCTGTTGCATATGCATGAGAACTGCGATGAAGTAAATAAATGCAACGGGCCTGAGGCCGATTAACAGAGTGTCAGAGACACATGTGTCTCACCTGTCTGTGCAGACAAGAAAGCAACGTTTCCCGTTGGCCGGCGCTAAGAACCTCGCCAGACTCTGCTGTCGTGCGTCTTGAGTCAAAGCAGCATGGTGTGGCAGCACTTCGTAGTCCGCACCCCGCCGATCATTTCTCCTCAGTATATTCTCCACTTTCCTGCAAGTGTCAATCTGGAATGCACCAGCATTTGTGGAATAAATTCAAATATAATTAGGATAAAAGTTCATAAAACTTCATCATAAAGTTCATAAAACTTGATGATAAAAGAGTTTTAACTTCTAAATAGTTAGTCTAAACAAGTAACGAGGGTAAACGAGCTGAAGAGAACTTCCGGACGATGCTTAAGCCCACCTTCAGAATATACACCCTTGCAGCAACTTTCCCCTACTCTCTTTTCCCTGCCATCCCTTCTCCTGGCTCACTTGTGTAAGCTACTTCCTCCTTATCCACTACCCTACCTAACCCTCCCCTATGCTTCCCCCTCGTTCCCCCTGCTTGCTTGGTACCCCCGTTTCCCTCTTGATGCTTTCCTGTTTCATCCAATTTCTTTCTCTCCGCCACCTCCCGCCAATCTCCCTTTCCTATCCTCTTCCACCTTATCATTCTGTTCCTTCCTGTATCTCCCCCCCCCCCCCCCCCCCCCCCCCCCCCCCCCCCCACCAATCCTCCAGCATTCTCCTACCCCCTATATTGTTCCCTCCTCGCGGGCAATTCTCGCTGGCCCATTCCCCCTCCACCCCCCTTTTCCCCACGATCTCCCCTCATTTGCTCCCCCCTTTCTTCCCCTGAACCCTGCAGCCCTTCTCTGAACCATAACTGCCCATCTCTGCCATTCCTAGTCTGCACCCTCCTGTCCCTTCTCTCCCTCTCCCTCTTCCCGGTTGCTACCGTCTCTCTTTTCTCCACCACTTCCATCACCTCTGCCCATTTCCCCTTTCTCTTCAGAGAAGAGGTTAACAGAGCCCTAAATTTTCAGGATTTTTTCAGGGTCATTATAACAAACGTCCCATACCTTTTATGCCAGACTTGTCACAAGTCCATAGAGTGGACACCAAATAAACCAACAGCAAAAAAAGAATTAAAAAAAATTGATCAAAGGGGCCTTAAACCCCAAGGCAAAAGTGTCTTCTCCAATGCACTTACCTTGGGGCTGAATAGTGGGGGTCCCTGTCAAGTTGTCAACCCTTTGTAACATGCCAGGAGTAAAGAGGAGGCTAGAACCTTCCTGCACAACATGCCTGATTCATTGCCAGACAACGGGAACTCTTATTTTCATGAAGAAGCATCTTATATGCTTAGACTCCCTAGATCCCCTCAGACTTTCTTATACTTTCTCATACATTTCTCATACATTCTCAGACCTTGTTTGTCGGGACGCTGGACCCGTTTCCCAGCAGGTGATGCTCCCCACCAATAGATGGAGCCTCTCCCTAGGTGTTACTGGTGTCTGCTCTTATCAGCAGCACTAACACTGGCGGGGGGGTTTAAAAAAAAAAAAAAAAAAAAAAACATGAAGAAGCCTTACTGGACTCGAGGGAGGGATTTGGGTTTAGGGTTTCAGAGAGCAAGTGCATCGTGTAGCACCCACCTTGTTACAGAATATGATTGTCTTTGGTACAGGCCTCTGTTCAAGCAGCTGAACAAGCGCGTCCTTCTTCCTCAAGAACGCCGACTCTTCGGTGCGATCGTCACCACCGCTGCAGTCCACCAGCACCTACCACATTCGTACCATGAGAGCCACAGAGAAATCAGCACCACTCAAGAACTCACAGAGCACCTCGATGCAGAAGCAAGGCCATAGTAACGGTGTGAATCGACGTCACAAGCAAGCCCCGGACAACAGATGGAAGGAAGCAGCACGCTCGTCTGGATCCCATACAATGGCGTGAATCAAACCAGCAAGCAAGCGCAAAAGCACACACACAACAGCTGGACGGAAGCGGAAGCGGAGGTCCAGAAGAACTCAAAAAGTTTTCTTCGCAAACTCTTCAGCAACCGTAGATGGAAGCCAATCAACATGTCTCCAAGTGGCGGTGTTCACATGTTGAACCAACCAAGCACCTGGACGACAACAACGTATCTTCTGCACCCGAGCACAACTCTCTATGATCATGAATGCGCATAAGCCGCCGGCCGCCATGCTACAATACAGTCACAATAATAGGCAGTTGCGTTCCAGGGAAGAACGTAACACTAGCAAGCTGCAACTAAAGAGCATCCCTTGGGTCACATTAACAACGAAGGGCAGCAGTATACAGAAGCAAAAGGGGAGGAGGAGAGGGGAGAAGGGAGGCGTTAAAGAAACCAGTTAAACCACTACTATGGTACTACCGTCTTCACCCGAATATAACGCCCGGTCATTATAGCCGTATCTGGTTCAACTTTCAGTCTAGGTACAGCGATAATGACCGGGCGTTGTATTCGGGTGAAGACGGTAGTAGAACTGGGACCCTTCTTCTGAAGCTTGTGCCCATATGTTCGACAGCCGTTATTTCGATTTGCTGGCCTGCCTGCAGCTGTCTTGATACATACTCGATGCAGAAATTTTGTGCAGGGGAAAGTGGCCAATCTGGTACTGGTGGTCTAACTTGTTTGAAATATCATATATGTCAATCTCAGCGTTATGGAGGACGGGGTATAAAACCGTATAACAGCATCGGCATCAGCAGTAATTGGATGACCAGATTGATGTTGAGGCTCAGTCCTACTTGACAAGAAGCAAACGACAATGCATTCTTCGTACTGATGAGACACAACAAAGATAGTGATCATGCAGTCCAATTCAAACAAGCCTTGCAATTAGGATTTGCACTGCAATGGGTACAGCACAGAACCATCATGTCCTGGTTATGTACATGGCAAAAGAACCTGACCATGGATCGCAGTCAGATTCGTCTTGCGCATCTGAACAGATAACCCCAGGAGCTGCCGAAGTCCACACGGGGCCACTTCAGTCTGTGTGACCCAGACAATAGATCTGGGGTCTTCTGCTTTTTTTTTTTTTTTTTTTTTTTTTTTTTTTTTTTGAAAACATCCCCCCTGCCAGTGCTAGTGCTGCTGATACGAGCAGTCACCACCAGGTGAAATACCCAGAATACCGTCTTCACCCGAATAGAACGCCCGGTAATTATCGCAGTATCTGGGCTGAAAGTTGTGCCAAATACAGCGACAATGACCGGGTGTTCTACTTGGGTGAAGACGGTAGTTCGAAGCACTTGCAAGTTATGAGCGATTGATTTGTTTGGACCATGTTGTAGACAGAGTGTGAAGGCATACTACTACAGTCTTCCCCCGAACACAGCTCACACTCATTTTGGCTGTATCTGGCCGGAAATACAACTTGTATACATGCATTTTAAAGGTGCGTTACGTTTGGGGGAAGACTGTAGTTGCTTCAACAGATTGAATCTGAGTTCTCAAGGCTCACTGATCCACATGCATATGCCTGTGCCACTACATGATTTGTTTGCGCTAACTTCCAGCTTTCAGCAGAGCTTGATGTAGGAATTCACGATCACGAAGGGGAGAGTGGTCTGTGGCATTACACGCAGCTCCTTGCTTCTGCGCCAGAGAAGCACCAGCACAAGCAGAGTGCCACACACACCGATAGAAAGACCGATCAACTGACCGGATGGAACAAAAAGGGGTAGAAGACCTCACTCTGCTGTTCTTCTTCTTCTCCTTCTTCTACCCCCTTTTTCTATACTCTTTATAAAGGGAAACCTGGGTCTACCAAAACGCTGTGGGGAGGCCTGGTTTCCAGTGTTGGGAAAACGGGCAGGAGAGGGGCCGGGCCCAAACAAAAAGCGACGGGGGAAATGCGCAGCATGGCACAACCGGTATCCGAGGACACGGGTGGGAAAGGGGCCAGGCCCAAGCAAATGCCGCACTGAAAACGCAGAGAAGGCGAATGAAGCGGAGCATTGGGTGGGCTTGCACGGCTGATCGAACGAGGTATGGGCAAGCGGAGGATTGGGTGGGCTTGGACGGCCGATCGAGCGAGGTATAGCCAGGATCGTTGCCATTTTTTTTTTCCCCGTCCGTGCCTGTATCCGCCCATGTTCTGGCGCATCTTTGGTGAGCAGTGGTGTGTGTGTGTGTGTCTCTCTCTCTCTCTCTCTCTCTCTCTCTCTCTCTCTCTCTCTCTCTCTCTCTCTCTCTCTCTCTCTCTCT